TCAAATGCTTAGAAATCCTGCTATAGCTTATTTTATGGGTATGTCTTATCTTCAGGGAAACACAGTAGTGTGCATTTTTTCCCACTAGACAAGCATTGAGCAACTGGCTCTGAGTTAATGCAACCAGTGGCATTGTCCGGGAAGGTTCTTTCTGGTCACAGTGAATTTTTTTTTTTTTTGTAAAAGCATTTTCCCGCAACCCTTATATTTTGTGATGCCCGATTTAAGAGAACAGCATGCAGCTGTGAAATTGTGTTTCCTGCTCTGGAAATACCACAGAGACTGTTGTGATGTTGAACACAGCTTACAAGAACAGTGCTATGGGAAAAACTCAAGTGTACGAGTGGTTTTCTCATTTCAAAAAAGGTGAAATGTCAATAGATGACAAACCTCATTCTGAATGTCAGTCAACTTCCTGAACAGATGAAAACGTTGACTCACAGTGCAGTTGGAGTTCCTTCCACCAGGTCAGATTGTTAATCAAGCTTTCTATTTAGAGGTTCTGAAAAGATTGCGTAAAAGTGTAAAACAAAAAAGGCCTGATTTGTGGCAGATGAGGGACTGGTTTTGCCACCACAACAATGCACCTGCTCATGCAGCCATCTCAACTCACCAGTTTTTAGCAAAAAACAACTTGCCCCTCTTGTCCCACACACCTGACTCACCTGACCTTGCTCTATTTGACTTCTTTTTGTTTCCATGAATGAAGAGGGACATGAAAAGAAAGCACTTTGACAACGTAGAAGAGGTGAAGAAAGAAAACGAAGGAGATGCTGTCAGCCATCCAAACAGATGACTTTGAAAAATGTTTCCAAGAATGGAATCACAGATTTGACAAATGTATTTTTTTTTCTTGACAAATGTATTAAGGGTCATGGAAAGTACTTTGAAGGTGATAAGGTGGTTTTGTAAATAAATAAATAAAATTTAAATTCATAGCTTTGAAAAATAAAAATCCCATTTGTGGGGGTACCCCCTCATATACTTTGGATGGAGTGAGGCAGGGGTGGGGTAAGGAGAGGGAAGAAATGAGAATGTAGGGGTGGTCTTCAACCATGCAGCACTAGAGTCATTCTCGAGGCCGGTGGGTATTGGGGAATGAGTCATGTGAACTTCTCGATGGCATCTTCAAAAAGCCCCCGGGAGCTGCTACTCCCAACCACCGCTCAGTTTCTAAGGCTATCGACTCGTGCTGTGGGCTCTTTTTCACTCCTCAGTCAGAACTCCAAGCGCTTCCAGAATCTGGCCCATCTCTGAAAGGTATTGTAGATAAGGCAGGTATCAGGTATTGTACATAAGTCATGAGAAGAAACCAGTCCCAGGTGAAGGACATCATGCTTGGCAAAGAGTCAGGGGAAAAAGAGCAAGTCCTGCCATGAACTGTGTTAGGGGCTGCAACAATGGGTTCTACATGTGTGAGGATGGCACGGGAGCCGTCTGTGTTCTGTTCTATAGTCACTGTGACTCAGAACTGGCTCCCTGGCATCTGACAACACTCAAACCCGCTGCCGTTGTGCCAATTCTGACTCGTACAGGACAGGGTTGAACTTCTCCTGGTGAGATTCCAAGACTGTAACTGTTGTGGGAATAGAAGGCCTCATGTATCCCCCCCAGGAGCGACTGGTGGTTTCAACCTGCTAACCTGGAGGTCAGCAGCCGACTGTGTAGCCCACGACAGCATCACACTCCATTAACGAAATCTCTGATGTAGGGAAATCACTCCCACACTCTTGCTCCAGCCAAATTTGAGCTTTCAGGTAGATCCCAGGAGTCTCCTCCACTCTGTTCCCGCCACGCCACCAGTCCTTGGTGTCGGCCAACAACAAGCACCACCTTCCAAGCTTTCAGAAATGGTCTCTACTGGAGGGGAGCTAGTTACTAGAGTCCTTTCCAACTCACGGAAACCCCAGAGCAACGAGACAGCACCATGTTTTCCATGGCCACTGTTTGCGGACGTAGACAGACAAACCTCTCTTCAGAGTTGCCTGTGGGAGGACGGGATTCAAAGCACCAACCGTTTTGGTTAGTGGCCACGCACATTAACTGTTTGCACCACCCTGGGTCTCCTAGTTTGAGTGAAGAATTAATCCTTGTCCAAGCTGCTTCACTTGTTTCTACAAAATAAATAAATATAATTTCACTCTCGTTTCTTCCCCCTTTTTAATATCTTCTCGTTAAGTCCCAGGGTTGGCCAGGGCACTTTTATAACAATGTCCTATAGTTAATCTGCATACATGGATCTGGATTTCCAATTTACTATTGGTTGTAACTTGATGTTGAAATGCTGAAATTCTACTTTTAACATTCTTCTAACTGCATACACATAACTTTCTTTTTGTGTGCTTTACTTTTCTGCATAAATGTGACCAGGGTATAGTTACTCTTGTTCACCTTCCATTTTCTTCCTTTAAACTTGTCATTTAGAGACTCTTATCAGTAAGTATATGTAGTTTCATTTATTTATTACCCTCTTGAGATTAGACAAAGGAGTCCTGGTGGCTAAATGGGTTATGTGTTGGGCTGTCAACCACAAGGTCAGTACTTTGAACCCACCAGCTGCTCCTTGGGAGAAAGAAGAGGTTCTCTGTGCCTGTGAAGATTTACAGCCTCAGAAACCCACAGGGGCAGTTCAATGCTCTCCTATGGGGTCACTCTGAATTAGAATCAACTTGATGGCAGTGAGTTAGGTTTGGTTTTGATATCAGGCAAGTTTTCTGAGTGTTGTAAACTGTTGTGCTCAACGACTAACCTAAAGGTTGTCTGCTTGAACCCACTTAGGGGTACTCAGGACAAGGGCCTCACCATTGTCAAGATTCAACCGAGAAAAAAGCCTATGGAGCAGTTCTACTTTCTAATACAAAGGTTCCCAAATTTATGTGGACTACCACTCCTTTTCAAAAAGAAAATAAAAAGTTACTCAGTGCCCCTCTTGGCAATTAAAACCTTATTGTGGTAGCCCATAATCCAGGATAAAATGTAGGTATGTGCTTTAAAACCCCCTGGATCGGTCCACACTTCCCGGAGTGTGGTAGTGCCTATTTGGGGAAGCACTGCTAATACATGGGTTCTCCGTGAGTACTCTCGACTGGAGAGCACGCGTTTGGTCTGGTTTAAAATGAGTATATTCCCATGACTCGAATTCGATCTTGCAAGTCTGGCTAGACCAGAGGAGGTACACTGGTACAGATAGGAACTGAAAATACAGGGAATCCAGGA